CCAGCTTCATCTTGCCAAGTCTCTGGAGAGGGGCAATCTCCTCAGGGACGATCTTGGTAGGGTCCAGGAGGTCGAAGCCATACTTGAGGGTGTCCTCCTCGTCCAGCACCTGGACGCAGAGCTCCCACTCGGGGCCGTTGCCGGACTCGATGGCGTCCCAGAGGTCTTGGCGGTGGTAGTCAGCGTTCTTGCCCGAGACAATTTGGGCTTCTTCCCAGACCAAGCTCGCCTTGCCCTGGAGGGTCTTCCAGTGCCACTTGACGAGCTTCGAGGTGCCGTCCTCTTTTACGAGGCGGAAGGTGTGCACGCCGTGGCCGTCCTGAGATTGCTATTAGCCATGTTTACTGAACTCCGAGACAATCGTACTCACCATGTGGCGGTAGCTTCTGGGAATGCCGTATCCGGCCATGGCCCAGAACAGGGTGTGCAGCGTGCTGGTCTGGGAGCTGAAGAAGTCCCATGCCGAATCGTGAGCGGTAGCCGCCTGGGGGATCTCGTTGTCGGGGCTAGGCTTGACGGAATGGATCAAGTCGGGGAACTATGGATCGTCAGATCAGTGCTTTTGGTGCTTTTCTCAACCGGCACTCACCTGGATCGCATCCTGAATGAAGAACACGGGAATGTTGTTTCCCACGATATCAAAGTTGCCCTCGTCCGTGAAGCTATTCCGTTAGCGCATGAAGTTCACCAGATGTTGGCCAGTACATACAATCTCGTGGCAAAACCATGGACGTCTCTTGCTGTATCGGCACTTCCCCTGGATCCAGCGACTGTAGAGAACCGCACGAATGTCGGCGTCTCCTTGCCATTCTCACTGAGGAATGACGCCGCGGTCAGGTTGGAGTAGTCGCCATAGCTGGTGAATGTTCCGTAGGCACCGGCGCCTCTGGCATGTACCGCTCGTTCAGGGACCTGTGGGCGCATTGGTTAGCCATGAAAGCGAACGACAGCTCAGGAGATTCTTACTCTCTCGTGGTCAAAGTGAGTAATCTTCTGGCGGAAGATAAAGTCCTCTAGCAAAGTCGGACCGCGGATGCCGGCTTTCAAACTGGTCTGATCCTCGATTGGGCCGCCAACGTCGGACGTCAGGTAGCCTTCGCTGTCGTCGACTTCGTAGCTCGCAACGTGATCGCGCGAGCCATCATCATCGGAGCGCGCCTTGATGTTGGCCGGTTCTGCAAAGGGGCAGCCGGCGGAGGAGAGGGTGGCCAGGCCGAGACCGGCCAGCAGCAGGGTGGTATGCATATTGGGTGTGCGCCAAGGGCTGACTGTGACAAGTAGCTCGCCTGCTGGATATCGGAACCAGCTTCAGACCACGGAACGTTTCCAATGTCTTATACGGTAAGGATTGGTACTTTTCCAAGATTATCGACTAAAACGAGGAAACAATGGAGGGCGGCAGGCTACTTATTAACTCCAGAGGCCTGGATTGACAAGCGGAGCTCTATACAAGCTAAAGGCGACTAGGGAAAAAGCATGATGAACTCAATGCGAGGGCAGATCGGCAAGAGAATGACACTTGTCAGAGCACAAGCCCAAGAATTGTGCCGGTATTGCTAATCATAAGCTTGTGGAGGAGGTCTTCACCGGCCCGGCAAAGGCACTAAGGCAGGAAGGCAGCTTTGCCCAGAACAAAAACACATCCACATCCCGGGGCAGGTGAGCACAACAGCACTGCTTCCTGCGAAGGAGGCACGGCCAGGACTGAGGAATGACAGCATCATAATCACATCAGGCAAGGAGCCCCCCACAAAAAGGGGGGCGCCCAAGGAGGAAAGAGAGGGGTGACAGATGTTGTGAGATTGGAAAACGAGTTGTTGTGATTCATCGCAGAAGCGCCCACAGTCCCGGACCTCTGATGTTGTGTGCTCATGGCATGCCTTGGCCGCAGTTTGTGTGCCTCACGGGCGAGGCAGGCAAAACATTGACAGTACTACCGTCCATGGCCCATGGATCCAGCCTACGCTCGATATAAGGTTACATCTAGACAACGTGGGCTATTGGAGGGGCTAGAGCTCGGTCCGGGTTGTCTAGTGCTGGCGTGAGAAGGGCGATGGAGCGTGGTTGGAAGGGGGGTGGACGGGGCGCCGTTGCGGCAGTTGTGAGGCCCAGGAGGGCGGCGGCGCTGCTTGGCCTTACTTAGATTAGTTCAAGCTAGGAACAGAACATGCGGCTGCGGGAGATCGAAGCCCGGCACCGGACGATGCCATCATCCCAAGTCTGTGCGAGTCTGTGTGCTTCCAGGAGGGCTGGTACCTGGGTCTTGGCCCAGCACCCGTGTACAAGGGAAAACGCAAAACACAGAAGCGACCGCGTCGTCTCGTGGTGACTTTTGTGCGACATTGAAGGGGGAAGCGGCTCAGGCGATGGACCGGTGGCCGCCGAGCAAGGTACCGGCCGCGGCGTGCGTAATGTTGGGATGGCAATGGGAGTGAAGAACGGCCGTGGAGACGACCGTCTGTCCGCTATGTCTAGTCTATGACGAAGAATGGGGAAGCAAGAAGTCGATTTGGGATGGGATTGGGGGCTAGTAAACCTGGCCTACGGGAGGGCCGTTGAGAGATGAAATGGTCCCGGGGACCCTCGTCGACCAGGACTTGAAGCGTTCTCTAGACATGCTCAAGTGTGATGGTCAGGCCCGGGTACTTTTGCCAAGTCCCATTGCTGCAAAGTAAACAGAGAGGCGGGCGAATGAGACAGGAGACCAAATCCGCATGCAGATTCAAATCCCGGCGCTGGGATGGAAAAGGAAAAGAGCTCGCTGCATGAGGTTGAGGTTGAGGTTGACAAGGCCGAACCGCCATCGTCATCGTGCGGGCCCTCTGGTGGGGCCGTTCCTCGCTGATCACCCGGGAGGAAAATATGGTGCTGCGTTGCCCGGGCCTCTGTAATACAAATCACCTCAGTCGAAGCGAGAGACCGGGGTTGTTGCTGCCGCCTTGGGATCGCGTGAACGGGGGTTCCACGGATGGGGGGTTGCAGCGCAGTCCATCCAAAAAGTTTCCGTGTGAGTCCCAGGATTGAGGTTCGTCTGGGCCAGATGAACGGTCGCAGGCGGCAGGCTCATTGCGCCGGGATAATACTCTGAGGCATCTTGGTGGTGATTGAATTGCGGCTCGCTCGCGGTTCATCATGGCCGCGAAATGAGACTGTTCTCCAGGGATTGGGTCAGGATAAAGAGCCCTCGGCACTTTCCGGAGGCGGCATCGAGTGTAGGAAGACTTGAAATGGCTCGAGGAGAATGTTAGAGATGCGAAATTACGATAATGACGCAAATTAGATGTACTCTTTTTCGAGCGATAAGTCTCTAGAGAGCTGGGAGAACTACATGTCTTCTTGCGTTCAGAAAGACGGGCACATCCAATTACACAGATGCCGACTCTTGGTTCCGTTACAGCAGCCGAGAAGCCCTGTAGTTTGCAAATCTGGATGATTTGGCAGCTGCACACCGAAAGCAAATGCAAATATTCAACGCAAGTCACACATGCGCAAACATCTAAAGGTTGGGACGAGCAGAGGGAAACAAGTCCAAGGAAACGTGCCCTGCAGGGGAGCGCACTGCAACCTCCCGGAGGTCTGTCCGGGACGGAGCCGGGGTTTGAGGGGCAGCCAGGGCACTACGTACCGATGGCGCGCAATTCATCGATCGCACAGAGCTCTTTGCTTCCTTTTCCGCTGACCCGCCCCAGCCAATGATCGTGTCTACATTAGCACAACAGAAAACGGTGGGAGGGATGGCCGTCATTTGACTTCCCGTCATCCCATCTTGCTCCAGCCTCTCAACTATGCTGCCGCTACCAAGACGTGATATTCCATAAATAAACCCAAGCTTCACGGTATTCACATCTAGCCTTAATTCACACCGCATGTGTGCGCCTCTTCCCCTCTCTTATTTATAGATGTGTCAGACCATTTAACCAGAGAGCCAAGCTTCAACGCGGATGGTCAACTACTCTCACCTGCCCAACCATCATGAATTTTGGCGATTGTCGTCTGCGGGAGTGATGGACGCGCGCCCAGTGTCCCGCAATTGCTTCTTCCGAACAAGACCGTCCATGATCAACCCAGAGTAGCAGGCGGAAAGCAAGGCGGAAATCCCGCAAAAGCAACAATCACGGTACAACCTTCCAAAACGAAAAAGAAGGCCATTCGAAACCGGCAAGGCTCAGCAGTTAGTCACTTTAGTCTCTCTGGTTCGCATGCCACCCACCGTGGTGGTGAGGTTCCGTCTCGCTTCCCTCTTGCGGGGCCTCCTGGCACCTGGCTCCGACCTCTCTGCCGAGCCGAGGCCGGGGACAAACATCGCTTGCGGGCCCGTTTCCCTTAGCCTGGGTAGCCCACCAGGACTCCACGCAAAGTTTTTGGTGATTTGAAATCATGGGGAATCGTTTGGAAGACCGAGACTACGTGAAGAATTTGACCGGCATCGGCTCGATCTAGAGACTTCTATCGTGCCGATTGAGCCGACGTGCTGTTGAAGAAGGAAAGAGAACGAGAATCCGAGCCTACCCTCGCAGCCATCATGTAGGTATGCAGACCAGTTTCAAGGGTGCAACGGCCTTGTAGAACTCCGGCGTCAGGTGTATTACTCTCCAACCCCAGCTCAGGGTTCTGCAAAAGCAACGGGAACATGCCTTGACGTGAGATAAACGAGCTCGTTTCCAGATTCGCCTCATCGTTTGACTCGGCTGGTCGAGCGACGTACTTGCAATAGGTCGAACTCCTTCAACGTTCTCGGTTCAATCCGATCCAGATTCTTTCGCATCTCATAACAGTGGCTTACACAGCACACGCACACACGTACACGATAGTATGGCACAGAAAGAGTGGTCGTATTGGTGGGGGTCTTGCTTGAAGTTCATTGCTTTTGGTGTAAATGAGATCCTAGCTCGATGGCGTCCGCTGGTATCCGGCCATGGCTAACCCAAATGTTTCCCCCCAAACGCCTTGAAAATCCATGCCCCATTTTTCATCATCCATTTTTTGATATCCCGATCCGCTTAGTAGAAGAAGCCGATGACCTTGCCGGCAACGTGCTTGCGACGGGCCTCCTCGTGGTCCATGATACCAGCGGAGGTGGTGAGGATGACGTAGCCGAACTGACGGGCAGGGAGCAGCTTGACAACCCACTTCTCGAGGTCGGCGAGGCGGACGTTGTAGCGGGGGGAGATGACACCGCACTTGTTGAGGCGGCCGTTCAGCTGGACGACAATCTTGCCGGAGCGGTGGTCGTCAACTTCTTCGAACTCAGAGAATTTGAGGTAGTCAGTATCGGAGAACTAAACATCATGTCGTGAAGTACATACTATATCCTGCAAGATGTTAGCGATGTGTTGCGGAAGACTAAAACTTTGACATCACGAGGTAAAATCCGAAAAAGGTGTAAGATCTCCGCGTTCAATATATCGGCAACTTATAGGGGCTGGGTCGTGGGAGTGAAAGAGACGGTCGCCCTAGTTATCATGCCGAATGTACAGGCCCATATTCCTCCAAGAAAGAAAGATAGAAAAAGGGTATAGCAGATGGATAGGAAGCTGTCGTGACATACCGTGGCGCTGCATGACCTGGAGGAACTTGACGATGACCTTGGAGCTAGGGCGGATGAGGACCTGGCGCTTGCCGGCCTTCTCGGCGTTGTTCATGCTCTTGAGAGCATCGTGGAGAACGGAGGTGCGGACCATTTTGGCGGTTGGTGAATGCGGAGATTCTCAAGTCTTGTGAAATGAGGTATCTGCCAGCGGAGAAGTAAATGTTAGCCTTCCGAGGCCTGTTGAGCGTGGAGAGTGCCCTCCCAGGCAGACAAGCCTTGATCGAGGAGAGGGTTCCGCCAGCTCATTGCTGAAGAGAGGAGCGTATCAGATGTCATCATCGTCGTCGGCGGCATGCAACAGAGGCCTCGAAGAAATCATCGTGTTCTCGTGTGTCGCGCGCGACTCGTCTGATTGCTCCTCTCCGGCATCAAGGAAAAGGCGAGAGTTCCTGCTTTGATCAAGGCGGCATGATGAGCATCTTTGCACGTACCTCGTTGAGTAGTGGTGCCGCTGAAGGTTAGGCAATTGGCGATGGATAGAGATCGGGATGGAGAAGAAGAGCGGAAAAGGGCGAAGCTGTCGTGGACCAAACCCAGGCAAAAAAATTCGCCAGTTCGGTTGTGGGTGGTCCGTGCCCGAGAAAAATTGCCCTAAGCGCACGGTTGGGCGACCCCACCGGCCAGCCAATAAGCGATCTCTGGTACTCTGTAATTTTTTCGAGCGCTGAACTCCTCTCCCGTGGAATCGCACAAGCACCATTTTATTCATAAACTACCCATACACATCACAACACCACTCTTCGAGGATCGCACCGACAGAGACTTGACGCAAAATTCCAAGATGGTGAGTCTCCGCCGACTACCCCCCGCACGAATCCCCCTCGCCGCGCCTTTTCGCATTGTCCGTCGCGTGCTCAATTGAGAGGTGCCGGGCCATTGGAAACTATGCGGCGTGCGGGCGAGGCCGATCGAGACCCTCCCCCCAGGCTTCCTTCATAGGGGCTTCGCGCCCCTTCTCCATTGTCGTTGCAGGATCAGACTCGCTGACTGATGGGTTGCGCAATTGTTGTAGTCGGACGTAGAAGAGAACAACGCCCCCGAGGTGGCCGAGGAGGTCGAGGTTTCCGCCGATGCTGGCTCCAAGGGCCAGATGTCCGTTCTGGACGCCCTCAAGGGTGTTCTGAAGCTGGCCCTCATGCACGACGGTCTTGCCCGCGGTCTCCGTGAGGCTTCCAAGGCCCTCGACCGCCGCCAGGCCCACATGTGCGTCCTCAACGAGGCTTGCGAGGAGGAGGCCTACAAGAAGCTCGTCATTGCTCTCTGCTCCGAGCACAAGATCCCCCTGATCAAGGTTCCCGACGGCAAGCAGCTCGGCGAGTGGGCTGGTCTTTGTGAGTTACCCCGCGACGACGGATGCGATATTGGAGGAGGGCGTGGACTAACAGGGAGACAGGCGTGTTGGACCGTGAGGGTAACGCCCGCAAGGTCGTCAACTGCTCTTGCGTCGTCGTCAAGGACTGGGGTGAAGAGTCCCAGGAGCGCTCCATCCTCCTCAACTACTTCCAGACCGAGCAGTAAATTTGGGTTGGCTTTCATGATTTGAATTTGGGCGTCACGACGGGGGTATAGAGGGGCGACGGGGAAAATCTGGAACCGCCGCAACGAACGAATCTTTCGGTTGTACTCTAGCTTCTTCAGCTGGCATCTCGAAACAAAAAATGGAGGACTCCCTCTGGAGGTCAGGTCATCTTGCATCAGGGCAAACAAAGAGAAACGGCATTGGGCACTCTTGAACCAAATTACTCGCGCACTTTTGGATGCTTTTAGTGATGTGATGCTATGAATGTGGGCCGCTGCCCGGGAATCTACTTCTTTCCCTCCACCTGGTCGTAGGTCAGCATATGTGTAACAACACCTAGAGGCGGCTGTAATCAGTGTACGAACCATAATGATGTGGTAGCCAAATTCCGTCTTCGCCTCCCCGATGACAGGGCTTGATGTTGAGCTTGTCGCGAGAGCGAATGCGACGTCCTCGAACTTGGGGTCCAAGCTACCCTTCGTCTTCCAACCCAGCGAGCCTCCTATCGAGCAATCAGAACAATTACCCCTCATGTCGTTGGTGAGTCACCCGGTCACTCGTTTCTTACCTTGCCTGGCCTTGTCTTCAGAGAACTCCCTCGCAACCTCGTCAAACTTGGCTCCGTCCCTGATCTTGGCCATGGCCTCCTCTTTCTTTCCATGCTTCTCGCACTGAACCCCTCGTCAGATGAAATCTCAGTAAACCCTCAACTCAAGCCTGCGCTCACCAGAATGTGGCGGACGTTGATGGACTGCGCGCCCTTCGCCTTGCCGCCCTTGTCCTCGCTCTCGCCCTTGCCTCCCTTCTTGCCGCCGCCGGACTTTCCGCCGTCCTTCTTGTCGGCGGGCTTCTTGTCGTTTTTACCCATGCTGGCTGCGTGAAGTTGGCGTGATGGTGGTGTTGAAAATTGGGTTGACCACATGCGGTGGTGGGGGTTAAGGCACACCCTCTGTTTCTCACCCCACCAACCAACACCCTTGGAGAGGGGTGTGACGAAATGCGGGGGAGATGACCCGAGCCGCCGCCGCCATGTCGGAGAGCAACACCACGAGTCTCACGCTATCATCGGACGCGCTCCAATTCTCAAACATGGCCTTTCTCAAGCTAACAAACACGTCCTCACTATCTAGCAGCGATCCATATCGTCCATCCAAAAACACGTCGTGACCCAAGTACCTCAGCCATCCGTCATGGCCTTAACGCCCGCTTCACTGGACAGTCTTCCGACTGAGATTCTGTCAGAGGTCATCTCGTACATTGCCGATCTCAGGACACTCTATTATCTCATGACGGCTTCTCCATCCGTATCCCGCATCTTTGATAGCCCGACCATGGGCCCTGAGGCTTTCGAGCACGTCCTGGCAAACTCAACAGCGCCCCAAGTGTTTGGTTTAATCCGACTCGTCGCCATTGTCCGAACAGCAACAGCAGATGACCCACCAGCAACATCCCTTGATGCGTTTGTCAAGCGGGCCAACCATCACATGCAACATAGCGGCCGGGGGCAGTTCTACAGCAGCATCCCACCTCTGACCCGTACTTACCAGCGCCAAAAACCAGGAGCCATCAGGAGCCTCCTTCAGATCGCTCGCCGCATTGCTTATCTGACCCCAGCTTGTCTCTCCTATTACCGTGAACAATGGCTCTCGGCGACTCCTTCGCACGCAGAAGGCGACATGCGCGGGTGGGTGTACAAGACTTGGAAGAATCGCTACGCGGGCCGCCCGTACAGTCCCGATGACATTGGCCCGCCCGTCTGGATCGAAGAGCACAGGGTGACGCGTGGGTTTTGGAGGCTGCAGCTGCTTTACGAACTCCAACGGGCAACCTCGGAGAACCGCCTAGGCTGGAAGATGGATGAGACACGCGGTCCGCTCTCCGCGGAGGGCCTATACGGCGCGTTGCGTTATGAGAAGGAGGAGTTCTTCACGGTGTCGGACTTCGTCGACCGCATCCAAGGGGAGAGCAGCTCGTCGAGTCTGCCGTGTCCGCTTACGAAGGCCTCAGTCACAGAATGGCCAGAGCCCGCGCCGCCTCTCGCAGTTGACGAGCCGGCAGGCCATACTCGCGGTTATCTCATGAGTCAAAACCCCGTCGGATGGGTTTACGCAAACATACGCCTCCGACACTTCCCGCCCTCGCCCATCCGCGGCGTTCCTCTGCAACCGTTCCGCCGGCTGGGGCTGTTCATATGGGAGTACGACAAGTTGGTGAAGATGGAGCTGATGTCTCCCACAGGGTATCCGTTTAGCGCGAAAGGGGAACCGTCCAAGATGTACACATGGCGTAGCCTGCTGAGCCAGGAGATTCTGGCAGAGGTTGAGGAGAATCTGGACCTGGGGAGCAATCGCCGGCAGACGACGCATACCGACGCCGCGTTTGGACTGCCTCCTCTTTGAACAGTAATTATACTCAATACGATGTTTTGTTTGAAAACCAGCTTGCTCACGTTGTCTAGGGTGATTAGATGGTCCAAGTTCGGTCCAAGTGCAATCTTGTCGATTCGACCAGAGCGTGGGTCACTCTATGCGATCGATTGCCCAAGGTATCAGCTGGGTATCCCATTGTATCCCATTAAAAGTGTACCTCAGGCTTACCACACCGACCACCTTGGAAGAACGCTGGGATGTTCTCGCCGGGATCTTTAGCACGGTCGGTCAGCACCTCAGGCAACCGCGAGCACTGGCCAACATCTGTCGCCACCACCCTGCTGACTCACATCTCCAACTGCCCTTATGTATCGGTCTATATTCCCTTACTCTCGCCTTCGGGCATTTGGTCAATTTGAAACGATACAGAGAAGATTAGCATGGCCCCTGCACTAAGGATGACACGCTCAATCAAAGAGAAGCTACCAATTTTTTTGCGTTTCTATTGCATCGGCTTCTCCTGATTCTTGCGATCACGACGATGCAATTTTTATTACTCGCATCATACTCTTTGAGGGTGCAAAATTGGATTGAAAACTGCACGATGGGAGCCTCGAACAGAAAACCTCGGCGTTTTGGGAAACGGGCCCACATGCTTCTTAGACTGCATCTTTGACCACGGGTTGTATATCCAGACTTGCACAGTATCATTTTATGTTCTGCTTCTATTTTGATGCTTTGGAATGATTGTGAAATTCATCTTGTTCTGTATTCTACGGGGCATGATGCAAACTTGACCGCCGCCCTTTCTCGGTCAGCATGTGCTTCATCATTCGGTCCTCTTTTGGCATGCTTCTATTGCATCTGTGGGATTTCGATACGATGGACGTTCTCGTCGTCCACAGGTTGAAGAACTGCCCGTGATGTTTTCGTCGTGTAATCGCCGCCTATCGAAGCAGCCACCTCGCCTGGGTAGACAAATCAAATAAGAGGGCACAGTATACAAAAAGCTTGGGCATGGTTCATCATTCGTCATCATTAATCATAAGGTGGTAGTGGTACAGGTGTCGTAGGTAATACAGGGTATTCGTGAGAAATCAATCAAGGCCCAGCGCTGCCTTCTCCTCCGTTTTAACGTTTCTGCCCAGTTTAAACAGGTATGATGAGTCCCAGACCGCATCCTTCCTGGCAAAGAGAGGCCTTGAACTCACTCGCGCGCCTCCAGTGCTCGCGATCGATGCGCTCCTCTTCCTTGCGCATCTTGAAGTCGAGCAGGCCGTCATCCCCCTTGCGCTGGCGGACCATCTCGGCCTCGACCTTCTTAAACGCCTGCCACTCGTCGATCTGCGACGGGCGGGGGATCTGCTGCACCTGCTCGAGGTCCTTCTGGCCGTTAACACGCTCGAGAAGGAGCTCGAGGCGGTACTTGTCGGTGGTGGCGTCCAGCTTGTTGCCGTACTGGCGGATGGTGTAACTAAGGCCCAATTAGTCGAAGATCAAAAGAGTGTAAGCAAGCAACAGTACTCACAGGCCATCATATCGCACACCAGCCTGGGGAGCAAGGGTGCTCTTGAGGCGGTAGCCCCTGAGGATGCGGATCTGGGTGCCGACTTGGGTGAGGAGGGAGACGTGCATGTCGGACAGACGACCCTCGCGGACGTATCGGTAGAGGTTTCCGCGGATGTGCTCCTCGCGGCCGGTGAGGAGAGGGAGGGCAGTGATGCCGTACTTGCTCTTGGTGGGCTTCTCGACTGCGGTGCCGAGGATGCCGTCACGGTGGGCGCAGGCCAAGTTCAGCCACCAGCTGCGATTTGTAAGTATAAGTGCATGTGATGAAGATGGGCATTACTAACTGGCCAGGCTCGAACTGCTGGTTTACCTCGAGCTCGGAGATGGGGTCTCGGCATCTAGTCTGGACAGTCCAGGACTCGAGGGGATCCTTGCCGGTAGCGGTAAAGCTGATGTCGCGCATCTCGCCGCCGACAGAGAGGCTGCGCTGGCGGACTTGGTCGATGGCGAAGTACTGGTCGCGGAAGCGCGCGCGCCACATCTTTTGCAGGCTCTCGGCGACGGCCATGTCGGCGCGGAAGCGGAGAGGTAGTGGCGAAGGGCGGTTGGCGGGGTCGACGATGTCGGCGAGGAGCTTGTCGAGGCGGGCGTACTGCAGAGTCTCGAAGTCGAGGATCGGGGTGTGGCGCAGCTCTTCCTTGAGGGCCCTCTCGAGGAGGCTCTGGATCCTGTCTGCATTGGGGCCCAGGCTTCTGTTCTGGCGAAGAGAGGTTCGGACGGTGTCGCACAGTTCGAGAAGCTCCTGTTTGGTGGGAAGAGGCTCAACCGAAGGAGACGGGAGCGCAGCTGCTGGCATATTAGAACGTGGTGGGTGCTGTCGGATGCCGGGGTTGCTGACCTGATCCAGGGTACCTCATGAAGTATGTCTCTGATGATCCGTCCAGCTGGAAGGGCGAAGGGCAGGGCCTCATCATGACTTGAGTAGGCGACATGGCGATGCTGATGATATGAAGCTGATCTTTTAGAGAATCGATGTCGTGCTGTGGATATTCGTGGGTGTTGGGGCTTGCATCTACACGTTGATGGTTTCGTGTGTTCTTGGACTTGCTTGCAGTCCTGGCTGTTGAGGCTGAGGGTGAAGACCAAATTGAATCTCAAGATTGAAGAGGATTGAAATGAAGCTTATATGAAAAGCAGGAGATGCGGATATGGCATGAAGGGAAGAAAACATGGCATTTGAACTAGCCAAGTGTGCGCCTCTGGATCAACGCAGGGGGTTTGGAGCGATGGGGATTCGTTCGGAAGGCGGTTTGGGCTTGAGACCCCCGAAGACACTTGCCATGAGACAAACATGCAAAAGGGTAAAGCAGAATCCGTTGGACCCAGAGCTTTGGGTGGCAGGTCTCAGATCGGGGACCAGCAACGATGAGTTCATCGTATCATTTCAGCTGGTGGCGCACGCTACCCGAGGGTTTGGTTCGGGTTGACAACGAAGTTTTGGGGGGTCAGTCAGTGGCGCTGAAGAATCTTCATCTCATCGAAAACTGCCAAGCCGGTGGAGGTGGGGGCCCGTAAGCCATCGAGGATCCGGCGTGCTGGGAGGCTTCTGAGAGCAATTGGGAAGGCGCCCCGATCGCTCAGGGTGTTCCAGACTGGTGGCAGTGGAAGACCGCGCTTGAGGTAGCCGCTAGTATCTCGGGGGACGTCTCAGGATTCCTCAGAGGAACGTGGGAGTGCTGAAACATTCTGTCGGAGAGCTCCAAGACTCCGACTCGCTCGTTGCATACGTCTTGGGCGTCATCTGCCTGTGAGGTTATTCCCAGTCCGGCGATGCAGCAAGACATCGTGTTACAGATCCAACATCTAGTCAAACTCAGGCGACTGGTGTTGGCGAGGACGCTGACACTGCATGGACGGGCTAGCACGGGAAAGGCCAAGACCCCCGCCCGGCCATTCGGTCCCTCGCCGGGCCATGTGGTTTTGCTCCGGAAATGATGTAGTTCGCTTCCGGGTCGACAGTGGTTAACCTTTTCCGGCCTCCACACGGAGTGTCTGTGGTCCCCGAACACCTAGTGCCATTTAAAAGTCTTTGACAACTTCCGCCCAAGGTTCAGATGGTACCGAAACCGAGATCAAGCCTCTTTTTGTCGCTGCTCGTGTCTACCAACGTTGCTGTCGAGACTTTTCACCATACTTGACTGAACTCATCAGTGGCGGCCACCAACCCGGTCGACTTGCATCAGAGTCAAACTCTCAACCCAATCTTGCCCAATCTACCCGACGCCTTGGGACAAAGGTGTGGCCCTCACCATGTCCACCCAACTCCTCGACTTAACGGCTGTCATCACTCCCAAGCCGGGTAAGGCGGAACAAGTGAGTGCGACCCGGTCGGCATGCTGCCTTGTGTGCACCCATTACCTCACCCCCCCAGCGGGCGTCTCAGCGGCCACCTGTCTCACTCCGAGACGAGTAGCGCAGTTCTGACGTCCTGAAACCAGGTTTTCCAGCTCTTCAGCAACTGCGTCAACTATTCCAAAGCCAACGAGCCAGGCACTCTGCGCTACGAGATCCACAGGGGGCTCAAGGACAAGAACGGCGGTCTCGAGGAGTTCGTCGTGAGAGAGACGTAAGTGGAAGAACTCCTGACGTCGGCGGAAGCGGGAGATCAACTGACGATCCCAACCAGATACGCTGACGAGGATGCATTGAACAAACACATGGGTGGTCCCGACGTCGTCGCTCTCGTGAAAGCCATGGAATCTGGCGAGCTAGTCGAGAGCGTCAAAGTCATCCACACAAACCCTGGTGCTGGATACGAGCGCTCCAAAATTTGACACGAGGGCTGTGAGAACTGTGACCTGTGAGCTGGGGGGACACGATGGCTCTCGCGTGTCTTTCTGGGCCCTTCCACTTGAGCAGACCTCGGACGAAAAGAGTATGGCGGGATGCCTGAGAAGCCTTCTTCGAGGGCGTCGAGGGCGAATGGCAACAGGCCGCATCAGGTCAAGTAGGGAGGTTGAACTCGTGGTCGGTAACAAAGACTCTGCACATTCAGCAACGCCAGGGAGTCAGCCATAGGCATGCAACTGGTGGTAGAATGAATTGCATGACTCTCAGGAAGGGTGATTTGCCTGCTGCAGAGCAGAAATGGGAGTGATTTGTGTAAGACTGCATCTGGGTCATGGTCGGGCGAACGGAAGTTCAGTAATCTGTGATCCGTATTTGAGTATGCCATTACCATGCTCGACTTTACGGAGGAGAGCTTTGGACATGAGTAGACTTGAGAGGAAACCTACGCATTCCGAGACATCACGGACCCAAGTGTTGATGGGGATTCGAACATCCATCGCATCCTTGCAGAACGGTTGAAAATGCCATGTGGTTTCTAGATCAGATCAGAACCGCCGCCAAGCAACGGCGAAGGTGTACGGACGTAAGATCGAGCAGAGTGTGCAGATCCATGTGTCTGGCGCTGTGGTTTGCTGGAGTACGGGAGTACTTTAAGCCAGGCGCTGCCGGAACGCCATCCATAGAGCCCGACGATGCCGTCTAACTCAAAGGAACAGTAGCTTCTGAGAGAAGGCGTCTGAAGGCGATTCTTCGAGAATACGTGCAATTGAAGCCTTAGAAATTTTCACATCAATTTGGAGGGCCTCTGCATTGATGTTGTAAATACTGAGAGCCGCAGAAATGAGGCTCGTATTCACATTGCTTGGAGGTAAGAAACTCAGCATGGCCGAATAGACTGAGTCGAGGATTCGTTTGACTCAGGATCTGCAGAGAATTAGGATTTTGCAATAGAATTCTAAGGACGGAAATTGGCAAAAGAAAACGCAAGAATACGCAACAGCGAATTCATCTTGGGTTTCTGTCGATGGTGCAAGAGATGGTAGTGCAAGAAACAAGAAACACAGAAGGTGTTGGTGTTGGTGTACGGACGTAAATCCCGGGCCCACCTTTCTAGAGCGCCCGTGCCACCTGCCACATTCTTACGCGACCACCGGATTATCTTGGCAGTTCAACCCTTCCGTCGTTGAACATCTTTCACATCGCAACACCTACCTGCCAACGAATATCCGGAAATGGTAGACAGCAACAAGGACCTCCTCGCTAAGGCGCAGGAATACTCGACAAACAATGTCGATCTCTACGAGCTACTCCAAATCGAAGCGTCCGCGAAGGACGAGAAGGAAATCCAGCGCGCGTGGCGCAAACAGTCCCTCAAGTACCATCCCGACAAGACCAAGGACGCATTCGACCCCGAGAAGTGGGAGCTCATCGAGAACGCCCGCGACATCCTCCTAGACACCGCTGCCCGCGCTGCGTACGACAATGCGCGCAAGGCGGCCCTCCTGCGCAAGGCTGAGCGCCAGCGCGTGGAGGGGGCCCGCAAGCGCGTCATCGACGAGCTCGAGGCCGCTGAGCAGGAGGCCAAGAGGCAGCGTCTCGACAAGGAAGAGCGCGAACGGGAGATGGAGCGCGAGAAGGCCCGGCTTCGTGCGGAGGGCCAGCGGCGAATGGCCGAGGAGGCCGAACGATTCAAGAAGGAGCAGCTGGAGCGCATGGAGAGGGAAAGAGAGCCGGACGAATACGATGAGAAGCTGGCGGAGCTGCAGAGGCAACTGGACGAGAAGAGGCGGCTGAAGGCTGAGAAGAAGGCTCGGAAGAAGGGCAAGGCAGACGGCGCCCCGACTCCCGACCCTGCGCCTGCGCCAGCACCAGCACCCGCTGCTCCTCGAGCACCGCCCAAATGGGAAGATCTCAAGGCGCGCATGTTGGAAGCTCAGAGGCGAAAGGAAGCCATGAAGGCAGCGGAGGCCACAAATACACCACCCGGGACGGATACGTCAACGAAAGCGGCGGAGGGAGAGGCGGCGACGGCTTGATTATACAATTATACCCCTTTTTCTATTCTACAACAGGAATGGCACTGACTTCTCTACTGGGCAGGTGCCTCGTTCAACCCATTCCTCAGCCATTCGGGCACGAATGCCTTGATTTTCACCGCGTTGCTCTTGTCTTCCTCGCCCCACTGTAGCATGAACTCGTTGGCGGGGTCGAACGTCGACGCGGCCGTCTCGCCGGGGAGGACGACGTCCGTCATGATCTCTAGCCGGCAAAGACCCAAGCCAACGTTTCCGATGCCCTTGAGCCACTTGCCCGCGCTTCTTCCCTTCTTGCCAGACCGGCCGATGCTCGTCTCTCTCGGGATCGTCTCTGCCGGCAGGCCCTCGGGACCGTGATTCGCATCTTCGTCCGGCCTATACTGCAGTGTCTGGGGCGCAGCTCTATCCACATCGTAGACCATGCATGGGAGTATCCTCTTGCGCACCACTCCGCGGTGCTTCGTCCGGATCGTGAGCTCCTGTCCGACGTAACAGCCCTTGTGATAGTCGATGCCGTTCATGTAATCCATATTCGTCTCCTGAGGCAGCGCGTGCTCCCTGATGATCTCATCCTGCCCCTCGGCGACCCCCTGCAAGTATCGCCTGATGGTGTAGCTGTCCTCCGTGGTAGCCTCAAGATCCAGCTGCGGCGGCGCATCCTTGCCCCGCACCAACCGGTATCCCAAACCGGGCGTCCTCGGGTCTCGCGTCAGCGTGCTCAAGGTCGCCGCATCGGTTGAGACAGGCTTCCCGCTGTCGTCCCACGCATGCCACACCGTCGCCTCGTCCACCGCCAGCAGGCGCACATTGAACTTGGCGCGCAGCTTGTACCGCTTGATGTGCTTCGCCAGCCTCTCGGCCTCGTTCGCGTCGGCCTCGATCAGGAAGCGCGTGCCCGCCTGCTGCTCTCCGGCCGCGGCGCCGCCGCCCAGGCCGGCGGTGTCCGGGTAGATGAAGACGTCGTGCAGCACGCGGCCGGTGGCGTTGAGGAACGCGGCGTAGAAGCCCGTCTCCCGCGCGCGGGCTTCCTTGGAGGCGATGTTGGCGGTGATGACGCCCTGCAGGAACTTGGCGGCGTCCGGGCCGGCGACGGAGATGAGGCGGCGCGAGGGGAGGGCCGTGAAACCGGCGGCGGGCGGTGCCGGGGGCGGTGGGCTGATGTTGCTCGAGTACGGGCGGCGTTGTCGCTGCTGCTGCTGGTGCTGGCGACAGCTCCGGCAGACGAAGCTGGCTGCGGACAGCTGCTTGCGCGCGACGAGTCGAGGGATTCCGTGCATTGTTTGGAACTTTGTGTGAACTCGTACAGAACTCTTGCAGCTTCCGGAGCTTGGAAAGAGGTTTGCTCTGTCGAATCGAAGTCCGAGGCGCGTGGGTTCGAGTCCCGTACCCCACGATAGCTATCGGGTGCTGGAAAGAAAATTGTTCCAGGGTTGGTTTGTAATGACGCACTGCCAGCCGTCCGGGACGCACGGGGCAAGCCGGGAATGGGCAATCGGACGACCACTGTAAGTCCGATTATTTCCCGGCCACTGCTGAATTTTCGGATAGAGGGCCAGCGGACAAGAGCTGGAAATCCATTCAGGGCTATCCCTGGACGTACGTGGCCTGTGCTTGAACATTGAGTTGCTGCCTAGCACAACTGCAACTTGAAGCTCCAAGAAACTCCACAGCTGAGCATCGCGAGAATCACCTCTCAACTGTTCGTCTCCAAACCCAACAACACACGGTATTCTCTCAAATTGGCACCTCTGTGAAACGATGCCAGATTGTGCCCCAAATAGTCTTGGCAAAATTCTTCCTCGCAGCAAGTGACGCAGTCTCATGCACTTCACACCGACAGCGCAGCCACTCCCGTCTGTCCCGCGCAACAGCCCCAAACAACCGCCGGCAACCACACCACCGTGCAAGGCTGAAGGGGATCGATGCAACCGCATGCGCTTCAGTGGGCTCCCAAATTTCCCAGGATATCGCAACCCTGGCCGTTGCAGCGCCAATCACCATGATTACGGTTACACGCTCTGTGGGCGCAGGATCGCGCTAGCCGTCTGACGCCCCGTGGCTATGAGTGCTAAGTGCCCGCTAGCTGGGGGACTTTGGTGCGACCCCCAAGTAAAAGACGACCTCCCATTAGCCAGGCACGCGAGACACCTCGACCAAGATGCACCCACAGAGTCGCGGTAAAGGATCGGCATCCTGGCACTTCCTACGTGGTATGCCATTCGATATGAAATGTCGGCGTCAGGGACTGAAAGCTGATGCTCCAATGCAGTTCGACATGGAGCGGAACCCCAGTATCCGTAGATTGAAGCTAGCTTGGCCATCTGTTTTGCCGATCCGTCTTACATTTTGGTGACTTTTCTGTGAGGGTTGTCCCCCTCGCATCCTTCTCTCCCGCCTTTTCTCTCTCCCTGGCGCGAACTCTGCTCTTGAATCCTTCGTGATCGCCGGATGGACGGATTGGAACAGCGTGGTTTCTGGTCTCGAAGCTTGATCGTTTGGACGAAGAGATCGCCGTAACTTTGACTCGGTCCCCCGCAGCTACCACGACCGCGGTCTTTTATCGCGAAAGAACGCCATATCTCGAGGTGGCCCGAGTTTCTCTCTAGCCATGGTTTCACGGTGGGCGGCGCTGCTCGCCGCTGGGCAGCTCGCTACGACATGTTATGCGCAAACCGCCGCGCAGGTATCAGACGTCCCGTCCGTCGACAACTTTGTGAGGAGGGCCTTTGCTAGGAGTATGTCCCTGCCCGCTCTACTGGGGGTGAGAGTCGCGACCGCTGACGGCGAACAGCAACCGTAGTCGACAACTATCTCTACATCGACGGCGGCGAAGTTTCACAGCTGGTGAACGGGAAGAACCTCACATACCGCCCTTCAAACCCAAGTTCGTCTGCTCCGCCGGTCACCTCGTAGACCGCCCTACTAAACAATGCCAACAGTGAACAGCACGCTGTCAATTGACCTCACATCATATTGGACGCCCTCAAACGTCACCTTCACAGAGACCAAGAAGACCGACGCGCCGACGATGATGCGCCAGGCAATCTTGAAGGACAACTCCAGCGGCATCTTCTACATCTGGGGCGGCTTCATCTCGTACGACAACCCGCTGCCCAGCGCCCAGCTGTGGAGGTTCAACCCCGACAACAAGGGCGGCGGCTCCTGGAACACCGAGATCAAGCCCGGCCACAGCACCTTTCTCGACTTCGAGCGCTCCCAGGGCGGCGTCTTCGTAAGCACGCCCGAGTCGGGCTTCTACTTTGGCGGCTACTCCCAGTCGACGTCCGACCCCACGCCTGCCGGTCCCGTGCCGGGGTTCCTGGAATTCAACTACGCGAACCAGACGCAGGCGTGGACGAACCACACCGACGCCCCGTACTCGCCGTACGGTACTATCGCTGGTGGCGCGGCGCAGTACATCCCGACCTTTGGCGACAACGGCCTCGTCATGCTCTTCAGCGGAGGCACGTACACCGTAGGAGAGGGTGTGGCTTCGGATGATGTTGCGCTTCAAGCCTTTGACACGCTCTACTTTATGGACCCCGTGACGAAGAAGTGGTACACCCAAAAGACGTCGGGAACACCGCCCGCGCCGCGGCAGTGGCACTGCGCAGTGGGAGCGCAGGGGCAGAACAACACATATGAGATGTAGGTCGCTGAGGAAACGAGACGCCAGGTAAATACTAACCAAGTGCGCAGCTTCATCTTTGGAGGCAGCAGCGGAAGCACCTCCTTCGACGAGGTCTGGATCCTGAGTCTGCCCGGCTTCTTCTGGACAAAGGCCGACTACACGTCCTCGAGCCCCCGCGACGCCATGGGCTGCGCCGTCGGCGGCCAGCGCCAGATGATCACCGTCGGCGGCATCAACCGCAGCTTCGTGCAGTCCACAAAGTTTTTTGCGAACAAGGATCCGTTCCCCCAGGGCATTGGCATCTTTGACATGACGGAGCTGAAGTGGGCCGACAACTACAACCCCAGCGCTGCCGCGTACCAGACGCCGGACACCGTGCAGGCTTGGTATGACGAGGGGTAAGTATTGTTTGCGCCGAAGTTCAGAGATAATGTAACTAACATGGACGAAGCAAACTCTCGAGCGTGACTTATACGAGCGACGAGGTCGCGGCTCTCTTCAATGGATCCAGCTCCGACTCCGGTTCAGGATCTGGCTCAGGCTCCGGCAGTGGCTCTTCCAGCGACTCGGGCTCCAGCTCTTCGAACGCCGGCGCGATTGCCGGCGGAGTCGTCGGAGGTGTGGCCGGAATCGCGGCGATCGGTCTGGCTGCCTTCTGCCTGCTGAAGAGGCGCAAGAGGCAGCAGGCCCAGAGCGCGAACCAGCCCGCCGTTGCGGAGGCGCAGCCATACGCCCCTCAGCACGGATACTCTCCCGTGCCGCCGTCGGCGACGATTGCGGCCTCGGAGTTGGAGAGTGGGCGGACTCCTCCCCCTGACGTGCCCAAGATGATGCATCCTCCCGAGTTGGATGCCAATCCCAGGGTGATGTACGAGCTTGATGGGTCGGGAACGCATAAATGATGAGAAGTGGTTGCAGCCGGAAGGAAATGGTCGAAGCGGAAGATATACCTTCATGAGATACCTTTAGACTGTAGACAAGTAGTTTATAATGATGTTCAACTCTCAAGGGATCAGCCACCACCAAGACAGCCCGGGAGAGCATCCCGTGTCGCGCAACGTAAACTCATGCCAGTCCCAGAGGCAGAGCCATGTGCAACTGCGACCTGTTCACCGGACACGATGGCATGCTTAGCCACCCACAACACGACCAGCGCTGGTCAAGGATCAAAGAGCAACTTTGAAGGCTTTGTACGAGACGATGTGTCTTCCCCCCAAGAAGTCTTTGCTTATCCGGCTTATCCCAGATCTGTGTGGTAAACAAACGACAGGCAACTCTTGAGGCAGAAGACAAGTTGTTGCTGCGAACACAAGCGTCACTGGCTGGCATATACCGCGCCCTGGGAGACAAAATGCCTTCATCTCCGCCCGGTATTAGGTGCGGAGGCTCGGAATGGCATATCGACTGACCGAGTAGTGCGACGAGGCCGTCGAAACTCTTAGCGGCGTGGCGGGGCTTTATGAAAAAACGACAGAAGAAGCCGATCGATACCGCTGTTTTCGCGCCCTATGTCACCAGGTGTAGGCTCACTTCCGGATAGGGCAGTCTCAGTAAGGCATCTGATTTTTTAATTGGTTTACAACATAGAAATTATTCGCTGTCGAAAATGAAGGCCATTTCTTATGCTTTTAGTGTGGCCTCAAGTGGTTGTATCTGGTGTCTGGTAGATCAAGAGAGAAGGGCCTGGAGCTGATTGAGCATGTTGCTTGCTTGTGCAATGTGGCAAGAGATTTTCTCTGTAACAATAAGCACAGAGACCGATACCGCTGGGCCGACCCCAATTAAGCACTTTTTAGTCCTTGCGTATCGACTGAGAGCTGCAGGAGTGTGACAATGAATGACCGTTTCAACCCATGACGCGAGTGGGCAGAGCCGGTGCACGGCCGGCACGACCGGACCACACCCGGAAGAGGTTGTGCTCCACTTCTCCGGTGACCGGTGCAACCTAACCGGCTGCAGCCGGTCCCAGGCTCGAAAGGCTAGCGTTTGCATGAGCCAAAAACGCACGAATATCCAGGCATCACGTTTCCTATAGACGCTCAAACAAGGCTAGTATCATGTGTCACGCTCCGCGGCCATCGCGGGCTCGGAATTAGAGAGTGATCGAGACCACCCCACCCCTGACGCGCCAAAGTGATGCACCCTCCCGAGCTTCACGCCAATCTCAGGAGATCTATAAACTTAATTGGGCGAGAATACAGAAGGGAGAACCGCCTCTCCCCTACCATGAGCACATATCTGGGCAAAAACGGGACTTGATGTCTTTCGTGTGTTAATCAGTACCAGTCCCAAGCCGCGATTATGGGTAAGCGGAAGAGTCAATGCGTTTGCTCAGAAATTTTGCAAGCAAAATCTCTCTCGGTATGCAGTGTCGATCATTTCTTCTTGTAGTCATATGTCGAAGGCAGCCTGACCCTGCAATCTTGACCATCGACGGTCTAGACTGAGTGATTAGGCGGTCTCTTTGAGCTGAACCAGACTCCAGACAATATCAGATCATCGCCTCCTTGCTCTGCTCTGCCTCACGGTTTGCCCGTTGGAAGGACCCCCTGGCAAGCCGGTTTTGATGACAGGTAATCATGAAGTTGGACTCTTGCGAATCACACACTATTGATGCACAACAGACGCCACCAAGTTGATATCACGCATAACGCCCATTCAAGATGTTCGCTGCAAGCATTTTAAGCGTCTAGTCTCTCGGCAGAGAGTTGCCTAGTCTCGGCATGCAGGGGGTAACACTCCTTGTGGCCAGTCAATCTTAGCCAGCTGCTTGTCAGCTTTGGGGCGCTTCGGGCCGCGACACGGCCTACGGAATGGGCTTGGCCGGTTCGCCCAATGTCATGGTCGGCGGATGACGAACATATAGCCCAGTCCCCCGAGTAACACACGATGAGTTCCGTTCTGAAGTGGCCTTCATTTTTTTGTCTACCTCTGTCCTATCTGAGGATATTCTTCCACACGAGAGAAACTTGCACAAACACGTCGTCGACATGGAGCCTCTTGGAACGATTAGCGCTATCATTAGCATCATCGGGGCCGTCTCCGGCACCTACAACACGATCGACGAGATTCAAGGTCGTCCGAAGGCTTTTGATGAAATCAAAGAGAGTCTTCCCCTGGTCAAGCAGGTCCTCACAGAGGCCGAGCACGCAAATCCGCAAGATCTTGAAGGCAACGAAGAGACTAAGAAGACAGTCTCCAACGCTATCCGAGAGTGCCACCGGGAGGCCAAGGTCCTCAAAACCGTCTTCGAAGAATTCCAGAAAAAGTGCGATGAAGACCGAGACCAGAACAATACATGGGGGAAGGCCCGGGCTTGGTATCACGTAGCTACGCAAGGCAAGGAAGCCCGTCGTGTCGAGACTTTGATGGAGGGGATCTTGCAACGCCTTCAGGCTCTCGCCATGGTGGAGGTCTTTGGAATCAAGGGCCACATGAGCGACATCACAAACGCTTTGAAAACCCTTCAAGATGCGGGTGAAACTCTGGATGAGTCGGAAATCAGAGCTGGCGCAAACCACGCCCGTCAGACGAACCAATCCAGTACCACAGCCACACAAAACAACGTTTCTGGTGGCAGGCAAAACAACGGGAATCACTCAGGAAACACCTACAACTCTACAGTGAATATTGGTAAGGAATGAGCTGCCAAGATTTGGGTTTCGTCCATCTTAATAAAATCATTAGCTTCGTGCCAAACTGCCAGAATTGGTGTCCAGATGGCTGCGTTTAACAGCCAATCAAAGCGTCAGTGTGATTTGTTCGAATTTTAGGTGTGCGATCACTAACAATGTTCAGCATTCCATTACATGCCACAAGAGAAGAATGCGAACTTTGTTGGTCGCGCGAAAACTCTTCAGAAATTACAAGCTTGGATCGAGAACAGCAAGGAACGCCCGAAAAACGTGGCCCTCTATGGCTTGAGTGGTGTAGGGAAAACCGAAATTGCAGCCAGCTTTGCCCATTGGGTGAAAGAAACGAAGCCAGAATACTCTGTGTTTTGGACTTCAGCTTCAAGCAAGGTCAATTTTCATAATGCATATGAGAGCGTCGCCGACAGTGCTGGCCTTCCGGCGGGAGGGGAAACTGATCGTAAACTGGACCTACGCTGGCAGCTGATATCGGGAAATATGAGTCCCTGGCTCCTTGTGGTCGACAACGCTGATGGCTCTGATATTACCGAGAGCATGCTGAAGGACGACGATGACACATACAGCGCCAAACACATATTCAAAGACGCCAGTGGGAAAAGTTATCTTCCAAGCCATGACAATGGTGTCACACTGTTCACGACACAATCGCGGGATATAGCTAGGTGGCTCTCGTCGGACAATGAGGTCGAGGTACCCGCCATGGAGGAGGGAGATTCAAGACTTCTTTTCGAAAAGCTTCTTGACAAAAGGCTGCCGCGAGAAGCCGATCGAACAGTCGGTATTCTTCTCGAAAAGCTGACCTGCCTGCCTCTAGCCATTGCCCATGCCGCGGCCTATATAAAGAGAAACCAGAAGAAAGTCCCGGAAGGAAATGAAAAACTCTTCAACGAATACCTCAATCTCATGAACTACTCAGACGAACAATTAATCGAGCGCCTGAATCCCAAGCTGGCAATCGGGGGCAAGATGAGGTCCGTCGTCGCTACTCTGACCATATCTTTGAAACGGCTCAACGCGAATGCCGCCAAGTTACTCGAATTCCTATCCCTGGTTGAGCCAACAGGAATACCACGGGCGATGCTTCCAACATTTGAAGGCGAAACTTGTCAAGATAACGCCGTCGGAACGCTTCTTGGCTACGCCTTCATTCATAGCCGAAACAACGAGGGACGAGTCTTCGATATGCATAGCCTTGTTCACCTTGTGGCGAGAGCCTGGAATGAGTCAGACGAACGCAAGAGATTGATCCCAGATACTGTTCGTTCTGCTGTATCTACTGTAATCAAAACTATCCCAGGGCATGGTGAACAGTTCTACTTCACTCAAAAAGGACGCGAGTACCTCCCACATGCCTTGAGACTTCTCAAAGCGAGTGAAGAGTTCGGATGCGACACTGATGAGGTGCTGCAACTGGGTCGATACGTCGGATGTTTCTTTTATAGAGACAGACGTTATCATGACGCTGCAAATGTATTGCGATGGGTGTTGGACATACAAGGGAAGCGAGGTGGGAATGACTTGCAACTGAAGGGAATGCTCGCAAAGTCCTATGCAAGGTTGGGGGTAAAGGAAAGGGTTATGGCGGTAGAAATGGCGGAGCGCCAGGCTCAAGAAGATGACCTCGATGAATTGGTTAGAACTTTAACGTGCGGACAGGCGGTCGTGGATACAGAAAAGTTCACATCGAAGATTGATCTTGGGACAGTCTACAAATCCGTCGGTCGAATGAAGGATGCGCTGAATGTCGCAGACGACATTGCGAGTTGGTTGCATTCACTCGACGTCGCAGAACACCCATGGATACGCAACTTCGTACCCTCACTTGCCGAGCTATACAAGGGCGTGGGGCAACACACCAAAGCTATCAATATACTCCACGGGATCATCGACGAGCATCGAGATGTTGCGCTATGGGACGAGACGCAGCTTTTCGATACGAAACTCACCCTTGGGTCTTCATACACAGCTGCCGGTCAATGCGAGAAGGCGATTCTTACGTTGCGTCAGTTGCAGCAGACGACGAGCGCCGACAAGGAGGCAGAGATCGAACAAACTCATCGAACTAAGATGGCACTTGCGAACGCTTACTGGCTCAATGGGCAGGAGAAGGAGGCAGCCAAGCTCTATGACGACCTTTCGGAGACATTCGAGTCCATTCCAGGTGTGGCAGATCAGACTACTCACCTCGGTGTGAAAACCGTGGCCGGGATGGTTGCTTGCTCCCAAAACAACTCTCCTAGAGGCATCAACCTCCTTGAGGAAGCGGTGCACGCAAGGAAAAGTCTGGCACAAACGAAAGAAACTCCCAACGAGGATGTTCCACTGTTGGTCAGCCAATTGCTCCTAGCTTTGGCTCTTCTAGATGATGCGGCGCGTCAGCAAGAGGGAGTAAAGTTGATAAATCACGTGGCTGTGGGTTTGAAAAAAGTTCTTGGTGAAGATGATAACTTGGCAAGCTTCGCTTGGAAGACGGTGGCAGAGCTGAAGAGCCAAGGACGAGATTAGCTCAGCGCACGACTGCTTATGGAATTAGCGACTTTTTCATGGTGTGATTGAAAGCATCTGGATTTTCTGGAATGTCTGGCCCATAAGGGATGAGTACTGGCTTCTCGAAGCAACGCTTCGACTACCTAGGGAACCTCTCCGAAGTAGTTGTTCACAGACACCTATTAGTTTTGAGTGAGCCATGGGCTTGGCAGATGCGCCGCCAGTGAGATGAAAGCACCCTTATGGGCATTTATCATGGCGATTCCAAAACGGGCAATTTGTGGTTGCGTCCCAACCATCCGGCACCAGAACCCTGATGGACGGCACCCAAACTCGACCGTTCTCATCGATCCAAACCCAAAATCTCAACGTCAACAACCCCCGGCCCATCATTCCATCCCGCCGATCCCCCTTCCATGACAGCATCGCCTCCGAGACGGACACCTTGTCCAAACACCTCGTCCGAACCAATCTCCTCCGCAGATCAACTCGCAAATGACTTCATCCATTCTCCAAGGGTCCAAACTACCGGGCCCCGCGGCTTCGGTATTGGCGTCAGCCACAAAGGAGCGACGACGCTAAAGCAAGGGACCTGTTGGCACTCGAATTACGTCTAAACAGTGGGGACTCTCCCCCCTTGATTCGCAGCGAGAGATCCGGACTTTGGCATGTCCCCGAGCTGTGAAAGTCCCGGGAGGCCGGCAGGCCTGTGCGCAAAGAGTGATCATCCCATGCCTAATAAAGTCAATGACACTGACAGCAAAAGTGTGTCGTCGGCGTCGGGGTGACACACGAATCCCGCTCCGCGCCGCGGGCCCAGCACACTCACAGTCCGCGTGGTCTTACACCACCACCCCCCCCCACGCCGTCGAATACGCGGGCAAACACCACCACCGCGAGAGCGAGGCCTCGTCCAGCATCACCAGATCACCCCTCCAAATCCGAAGCACACAGATCGTCAACGTCACGCACCTCACACACCCCTCCCGCACCATCGGGTTCCGGAGGGTGCATCTGCCATTGGATGACAGCTGTTCTTAATTCCGAATATGTCCCCCAAGACCGGTTCACCAGGCACCCGCTGCAGTTCAGCCACAGCCATGTTCTCGCGGACGGGCCAACTCTTGTTTTCTCGGAGTTGGTGATGGGTTGAAGGAACCGTTGGTCTGGAACACCCGCATAGACAACAACGGCGGTGCATAGTGGGCTGAGGTGAGAACGGCATCTCACGAGGGCACGTACGGCTCAATAAGGAGCTTTCTCATTTTGTTTTGCTTCAGATATTCTTATTTGGAAAAGTAGCATCACCACCATGACTCTTCATATCTCTGACATCAGAACCCCAAGCCATCGCAAACCGTTGCACCCGTCTCAAGTCTCGTCTGAAGGGGGTCCTTCACCTCGGTGAACCATCCCAGCCCACTGGGCTCCGTAGTCGAACCCCTCCTCGGTCACTCGGCCTCGAACTCGTCCCTAGGCAGTGGGCGTTGGTTCGGCCGAGGGGAGAGAGAGCACGTCCCAGGCCGACAGGGCCAGCCGCCAGACAAACAGCCGCGGCCGCACCCGCTCTGCACCCAACGCGCGGAAAAGTGTGGAGTCCGCGTCACTTGCGTGCTGGTACCTGGATGAATAATCGGCTTGTGCTCGGCTTCGGCTTACCCAAGCAGCAGCACAATTATCAATCCCACCAGATCTTTCTTGATAGACTCACACCCCATGGAATCTTGCCGGTGGGGCCTAAAGGTCTGGACTTAGTGAGATTAACTCCAACGCCAAGCTCAAGCGGGGTGTGCAGCAGAAGATGCGCGCATCAGAGGATCAAGAGTGGGACGCGAGAAGGTAACATTTGTGTGTGAGTGACTGTGCACGCCGCGATTCTCTCTCGTCGTGATGACTCAAAGAGGTGGAGAGCCGGGCCTTGGAACGACGTGCTCGATCTTATCTGCCTCGCTTCTCTTGCACCTTTTCGACGATGGTCGATGAAAATCACCGCCCAGCCCTTGCGTCCGTCCCACAGCTGAACATGGTTCTTCGCACAGAAGAAAAACAAGTCCACCCCCGCAGAGGTGCGTCGTGCCTGGATGGAAAGAAGCCCACCGCCCCGCCGGTGCCGAAAGACTCACATTCTTTCCGCATCTCGTCAGTTCGCCGCAAGACACCCCGGCGGAGGAGCGGAGAAGGGGGTGTGTGTGAACCTGCTGATGGAGTTCGTTGCGGCGAGCGGATCGGAGGGGACTTCAGCGGGGTCGGCTGCTGCAGCGCTGCCGCCTGCGGGCGGTGCGGCGGTCGGTCGGCCTGTTGGAAGGCTCCCGTAGACCACAGAAGGATGCAGCATTATTCTTCGGAAGCGAAGCCGTGCCCTTATCAGCAGATCATCGAGGCCAAGATCGCTCGATAGTCCTAGCGGGCCACTGCAACTGCCATCGTGACCCGTTGTAGGACTCTAGCAGCATAATCATTGTAGCATTCAACTTATCGCGAGGGAGCAGCGCGCACAGCAGGTAATCAGTGTTTCCTATTGCGATCGAAATGGCGTGCGAGACACGCCCGTCTTGTGCCTTGCACAATCCCGCCTCAGATGATCGACCTGGGCCAAGGCAGATAGGGTCAACCCCACGCTGACTGTCTCATCCGGGGTGAACGTGTCACCTGCACGCACTTTGCAGCGAAATTTGGCTGCTGGCGTGCTGGCAACGCGCTGGCCCAATTTCGCATTTCAATGCTTGTTAGGCTCAGGCACAGGCAAGGGACCCCCCTTTCACCGCCCTACGTTGCCCGGTTCAGTGTTGAGGCCCTCTCTCAACCGCAGCCCAGAAGCTCCACGGTAGGGCAGCAGCGAAAAAATTTAAACGGCAGGCTGGTGGACGGTGAAGCGGTTGGCGGTCAACAAGTGCGTTTGGGAGGTATCGTGGAACGGGTCATGAATCGAAAGCGTGGGATAGCGCAGAGGCCTAGCCTAGACGCTGGCAAGCTGGGCACGCCAGGGAAACTTGTCTTCCGAGACCTGATTGACTCGGTTGATTGCGTGCGAGCAGCAAAGTGTCAGTCATGACTCCTCTCCGGACAATCTCTCTCTCTCGCGGGCAAAGGATACTCGATCGGGAAGGGCCAGCTCTGCTCAGGTGAAACAAATAAGCGTCGCCTGTCGCTGGCCGTCTGCTAAAGTGCTTCCCGCCGAGCAACTGAACCAACACTTTTAGGCTTGCCGAGACTGGCGAACGCAAAGGCGGGGGGTCTGATTGCGTCGCATCGGATGCGAAGGCCGAATGGCGGGCGGGAAAATGTCACTGGATCGTCAAATTTTCCATCCGTCCTGCTTTCCCCTCTTCGTTATCTATCGTCGGTCGGCTCAACCAATTTTGTGCCGTTTGCGCGAGAGCGAAGTCGGACTCGTTTGTTTTTGTGTCGCTGCGCCCTCAAGGTTGGGCGGTTTATCCAACGGCAATCGTGCCCTCCTTCTCAGCCCTGTTTGTCGGGTTGAACTGCCAGTAAGATTAGACAACGGCCCATCACACACAAACCTTGGTCCGCCTGGCGTTTGGTGTCAGCATTGAAGGATCGGTGAGCTGAGCAACGAGGGGTTGGCAGTTCCAATCTCGTCGGGCCACGACCAGGCACAGTAAGATGCCAGACCGGGACCCTGGGTCGCGCAATACGGCGTAAGAAAGCCAAGCGAACCTCGTGCCATTTTCCATCTCCAGCAGTCCCTAATCTCCAATCTCCAATCTCAGCGAGATCTATTGCACAGCTTCTGCTGCGCCTTATGTCAGCTGGGATGATGGTCGCAGGGGGCGGTTGATGGGGGCTGGAGATGGAGATTTGGGGGTGTGCCAGAGAGGCGACACGTGGTGTACGGCGGCCCGAGCGCAGGCAACACGGGCCCCGAGAGGAGGTCGAACGGGCTCCGTTGGGTGGTCTCTCCCTCGAAAATTTCCCCTTCCTGGGCTCGCCGACTCCATTCGGGCGGGATTCGTCCGTCCTGAAGAGTGATGACTGATTGATTGAAGCCTGCCAGCCTGCCAGCTGCTGGGCTAGATTTCTGCCACACACCCCTCCCCCTCGGCCACTCGCATCTGCTCGCGAGGCCGCGCACTCCGCTAGATTCATCCCGCGGGTGCACACGCTGTAGGACTCGTGTCGTATCGTCGTAATCGCTCAGGACTCACGACTGCGCCGCCTTTTCTCGCTGCTTCTGCCGTCCGCCATCGTTCGCACTCGTTTCCGCTATTGCGTCGCCATCGAAGCAATCAGGCCATGGTCGAAATTGCATTCATCGCCGTTTGCCTCAATCCCTAAGACCCGTCGGGGGAGCGGCGCAACTCTCGTCGTTTGGTCCTGCGCGGTACCATTGTCATTGACGGCGACCTGTAAATGACAATTTCGATTGACTGCCCGAAGCGGCCGCAACGGGAATAATCACTGGCGTCGGGGTTTTCGCTTGCTCCAGGCAGCCCTTTGGTAATTCCGACTTTTGGAGGGAGTTAAAACACACCGCCAAAGTCCGAATGCCATGGCTCCTTTGTGATTCGTCCGCAATACGGCTTGCTGAGCTCGACAGGGGTGTGTCGATAGAAAGTCGGGGCGGTCGGTTCGTTGAACAGTTTGGTTGTCGAGTGCTGCAGAAGGCGGCAGCGGGATGAGCTGAATGAGGTAAGCAACAGGGAGGACGGAAGTTGAGCGACGCCGATCTGCCGAGATCGCTGTGGCTGTTGGTTTGTCTCTGCTGCTTAGGTAAAGCGGCCCGTTGCCTGCGCTTGCTCTCTCGCTGTCTGGCTCGCTGCGCTGCAGCGCATTGTCGTTCCTGCTGAATCATGTGGACTGCCTGAATGACTCGTCAGCCAGTTTCAACCCCCGAGATGAGGCGAATGAAGTGCAATGATGCAATCGTGACCTCTTCACGTGTGCAAAGCAAAGGCGAGGGGAAAGGGGGTTCAGATTGAAATCTGTTTCAATTGGATATTTTGCTCGCTGATGGGCACTGTTGCAACCCAGCGGCTCTGTTCTATCTGTCTGTAACACAATGCTGAACCACTCAACCACGATGCTCCTGCGATCCGAGATCGGGGGAGTCGGGAGCGGCAGCCGAAGAGAAGTAATTCCAATAGCCATCCATTATCCATCAAGGTCGTATGTGGTCCACCCGACCAACCCATTCGTGCCTTGCTTCCCGGTTCCGACATAGGAAAATATTGTAGTAAATCCGTAGAGATGAGAGGAAATTCCTGAGTAGACATTGCCGTCTTTTTGTAAACCCGCCCGTTCAAAATCATGAACCATGCCGGTCTTGGTATCGATATATGTAAAAACGCCATGCTATGCAAACGCTCGCTGTAAAACCAAAGAAGAGATCAAATCACAGTCGAAGTAGTGAAAACGTCCCAAGTGTAAACTTTAGTACACTGAGATGGCAGACACAAGCCTCGCTGGGTTCCTGGGCGGCAGGTAGTAGCCTTCAGAGTAGAAGGCGCCGTCTTGTTGTTGTGAGATCTCTTCCTTGGCTTCCTTCTCGGAGAAGGTGAGCACTGCGTTTGGCGGTGATGGGGGCATCGACTCGTCGTCTGAGATGTCGGAGTCGTGCTCGAGCTCTGGTGGTGATGAGCTGCTGGAGTGGGAAGGTGTGCGGACAAGCTCGAGCTGTGCGTAGTCCTCCTCGAGGTCGTCCTCCTCCATGTCGTAGTCCTCGGAGACGGAGACGGTTGTTGTTCTCGGGGAAGCGGGGCCGGAGGGCATGCGGCGGAGGGAGACGGTGTCGGCCATCTCGATATCGTCCTCCTCGTCGTAGTCGTCGTCGGAAGAGTCTGAGGAGTCATCCGAGTCGGAGGCGTCCCAGTCATTCTCGGGATCCTCGACGATGGTGTCGGCCCATTGCACGTGGCGCTCCTCGCTCTTGGTGGCTCCGCGGACGGATTGGTTGAACCAGCTCTCCTGCTCACGCTCGGCGTCGGCAAGCTCAAGCATCAGGGAGTCGAGAAGGTTGGCGTGGCCGACGAGGAGGCGGAGGTCGTGGTCGGCGCGGGCAGCCTCAGATGAGAGCTTGGCCCGGGCCTTGTGGGCAAGGTAGTAGGTCTGAGTGATGCTCATCTTCTTCTTGAGGGCGGTGATGTGCAGAGGTGAGGAGGAAGAGTGAGTATGGGGACGGGTGGTTGTTGTGGACATTTTGTGTGACTTTGCACCGACGGTGACTGATGTCGCGATTTTGGCTGGTATGACTCAAAGCGAGATCGGGGGTTGTTGTGGTGCAGGGGTGCCTAGGCTAGTGTTGCCGGTGTGTGAAGCTTTGATAATCTTCTCCAAGGGGCTTTTCTCGGGTTGGACTCGGGAGTGGTTGATGAGGTAAGGCGAAGAGACAGCTTGAGATATCCAAAGATGGGGATGAGATGTGTTTATATGTTTGAAGCTTGTTGGGTTAGATGCTTTCTTGTTTTGGAAATCTGAGGCTGTTGATTGTGAAGCTGAAGCTGGTGGACTGGAAAGATGGGAATCTAGATCGTGGTGGGAAACAGATTTCTTTTAACTCCTTCGACCGCTTCGCTGGACTGTCGGGCTCGGAGAGAAGAAAAGTGTGTGAGGAAGCGGTGACAAGGGGAGGGGTGTGGTGTCGAGAGTGTGTGGCAGGTGCAGGTGCAGGGGGGTGATGACCACGGGGGTGTGAGGACGGGTGGACGGGTGGAGAGGCTTAGGCTGAGGACTCACACACTTGCAGCGGAAAGGTGTGGGCTTGTGGACTTTGGAGTTTGGGCGGCTTTTGTCATCAGAAGCCCGAGGCGCTTCCCGAGCCTCCGCAGCACCCACAGGCTGCCATTACAGAGCACACCTCAGGTCGACTTTTCCGCTCTTTCGCCTACTGCCGCAGTACCTGCTGTAGGTACCTATCTCACCGTGGGTAGCTATGTCTGCCGTCGTGGTTCGGACTTTCTAGCTTACCAGCGCTGTCCGGCGCCAGGTACGTGGCTGCCCCGTCAAGCCCGTCTCAGTTTCTTCTCTGACGCACTCGGCCAAAGGATACGTACCTTTTTCGAATACCTACCATCCCCATTACTGTACACCTTGTTTTGTCAGCCAGTGCTTGTAATCAATCAGTTCCATCAACGTCGACCGTCCAAACTCTCCGGCCGCTATCCCTCTTCCCGCCATCACGGGCTCGACCCGAGGCCTTGGACATAGGGGATAGGCATAACTCCGCACCGACCACCGATTCCACCGTGATTCCATTGGCATCCAGGTACTGACTGTTCTGCTCAGTGATTACCCATGCCGACCGCCGCGGCCCGGCCTCTACAGCACAATCCCCGTTACCCATCCAGCGCGTCATCTCGAGTCTCGAATGCACAATTTCATCTGACAAACCTCTGCACAGAATTCAATCACTGGTGAAAATAAGGGCGTGCCTTACGTACGACGACCCCTACGCCTCGGCCGTTACGCGGTTATGCGCATTCGCACATCTTACCTCGGCGCACCCGTCACAATCGCCGTGGCTCATCTCCCTTCGAAACTGTAACTCTCGACACATCTGCCATCTGCGACAGGCTGAGGCGGACAAGCGAAAGAAGGACGGCCTCAATATTGGCCCGGGGTGGTGTTTGGGCGTGATCGCCCGGCCAAGGCCTGCAATTGGCACAATTACCAATTCCTAATCCCTAGTCCTTTACCCCAGGGCAGGTGCCGCACTCGAAGCCTAATTGTGTCCAAAGGACTAAACGAGCAGACCGAGTGCGGTTGCTACCTCAACCTGGGCACCTATCCGTACCCCCGTCGGTCGCTAGGCCTCATGCACGGCGCCGAGGGCCGCGAAGGGCACCGCGATCATCAATCATTGCACCAATATGGATAATACTCTGGCAGGCAGCGCTGGGCGGAACAGCACAGCATCAGCATCAGCATCAGCATCAGCACCAGCACAGCCCGCCCGTCGGCTCCGTTCACCTGGCTGCGAGTGCGAGCCTGAGACTGGGGGCCATCTAACCAGCTGACTGGCTTTGTCGGACACGCACCAATCACAGCACCTTGCGAGGAACACGAAGCAGATCTGTACGGATTTACGAGTGGCCCCGAGCAGTAATTACAGGAGAGAAGCGCAGGGGTGCCGAGTGTACGTACAGATACAGCACGCCGAAAGAGAGATAGGGCTGAGGGCAACGTAGCAGCAGCCAATGGGCGAAGTATATTTGCTCTCCGCGTTGGGCATAACGCCGCCTACGGGATTCACAGGCTACTGCGTAACGCACACGCCGTACTCGCTCTCGCGGTGTCCCTTCTTTTACGGTGATGCCTAGAACACCAGCCACAGTCGTGATGAGTCGGCCTCTTGGTACCCCACGCCGGCCTTTCGCGACTGGTCAATTGCCCGGGGCGACGGAGCATCCACGGGAGCTGCTGCATCAGCGGCGCCGTTGGGGAGCCTCGCGTCTGCCTACACTTTGAGGCGTCTCCCCGTACCTGTCTCTGTTCGCCCTTCCTTGCGAATGAAGCAGAAGAAACCCGCAATTGCTTCTTTGAGCATTGATCCAATGTTTCGCACGGGCTGCCGTCAGATTGAGCATCGACAACAGTCATACTGCCGTACCAGTTCGCCGACTTGTCCCGTCTCCCTGGATACCGACGAAAAGCAAGAGGACCCTGGCTCCGCACGGGAGCTGTCAAGTGATGACAAAAAAGCCAGATGGGGGGCCGTCTCCGACTTTGCCCATGCCGAAAGAAAGCCTCTCTCACAAGTTTACTCTCCGAGATTGCTCTGGGCGTGGGGTTGTCGGAGACCAGCGGCACCGCACTCGGGGGCACGGAGCAAAGGGAGGAAACTCAGAAAAACACTCATCCTGAAGCAGGATTGCTCATCACTCATCAGTCATCTGCCAGACTTTTGGCAGGGACAAGCCACATCCAAACTCCGTTTCCCCTCCAAGCCCAATCTGGCGCGCTGTCGCATGCGACCTGCAGCAATACCAGCCAGTCGCGAGGACGACGGCTTTTGAGTCAACGGGACTGATGCTCTTCTGCTGCGCATTCGCGTGGACGGCCACGTACGAATCCACGGCATCAGAACAGGTGGCTTGCATGGTGGCCGCGACACAGCATGCCAATACTTCGTAAACCCCTTTCGCGTTCACCGCGAGTTCGGTTCAACCAATTGAACCAGCTGCTGTGTCCCCCTTCCAGAAGGAAAAATACCGTGCAGGCTTGCAGCCGTCTCTCGTGAGAGGGGAGGACAGGACCCAAGCCACGATGGCAGCAGTGGGAAGCGGTCGCTACTTGGAGCGGCAGGGCGGACGGCCGGGCTGGTGGATTAGACCGCCGGTTCACGCGTGACCGCCTTCGATTTGGCTCCCCAAGTTGCGGAAATTGGGGGCTGCCCAGACTCGGGGCCCCTGGCTCTGCCGCCGCCGCCGCCAACAACGTATCCCGCACTCCACGATGGCTACGGATCGCGGGTTTACGGTTTACGGCGCAACACGGAGCAAACGCCAGCGCTGGTTCCTGAAAACCCTCGCGGGATGACAACACAGGACCCGTGCTAAGTCGTTGGACCCTTTCCCGCGCCCGTCTTTGGCTCGTGGACAGGGCTCACAAGTTGGCCCCATGCCGTCCGAAAGTTCCTGTCGATGATGACCCGGGTTTGGGGGAGGAGTTCGGCATCTTTCTCTTGCGGCCTGCGAGTCACCCAGAAACCACCCCTCGCAAGCTCGCACACACCCTTGGTCCCCACCCTGCCGAGCTTCCCGCACGGTTCACTCTTGACACCGCGGTCCCGACGGACGGTCGGCGGGTCGGAGAGAGAGAACTTCTTTCACGAGCGCAAGAGATCAGCGCAAAAATTACTCATCACTGCAAAAGTCCAGACATCGTCGCGCTCGCGTCATAGCAGACTGTTGCCGAAAGGCTAAAAGCTTCTCTTCTTTGCTGGGAGTGGGGACTGCGCTGCTGAATTCCCAATCCCGCGGTCCTGACAGCTGCCCTATGCTTTTCTCCCCGCCAGCGCTTGCCTGTGCGACCATCACCACCTTATTTCCGTGCTCCCTCGGGACTGATGACGCGAGAAGCCAATTGAGGGTTCAGACGGCGCCTCATAGACTCTTGTTAGTCTGACGTGCTCAGGTGAGAGGGTGCCTCACGGTCAGCCTATGGACATGGCCGAGGGCGATGGAATGCGAGGACAGAAAGACCCTGCAGCCCTGCGAGCGGGCCTCGGTGGACACACCAATTGCTGTTGACTGATGAGAAATGAGAGACGCCGACGGAGCTTACAGATCCCCCAAGCCAAGTGTGCAAATGGGGAGCGCGACAATGACCAATGCAGAGTCATTGGTAAGCTTCTTACATGGCAGAGCCAGGGGGTCAGCACAGCACACCTACTACTCGTCGACACACCAAGGGCACAATGGAACGTAGCAACTCGCCGACGACGATGATGCAGGTTACACAGATAGGGCTGTTCCCGCGACTCGCAAGCCAACGATCAATTTTGCTGTGCAAATCCCTCCCTCCGCTCTTTGGGGTAGGTAGGTATGCTGACTGCATCGCGCCCTCACGATGATTCGCTCCTCGCATCAGCGCCCTATCAGAAGACTGAGGCGGTGCAACCCCAGCTGCGTGTTATCCTCACCGCTCGTGGCTTGCGCTGCGAAGGCTTGGTATGTGTACCACCGAAAAGAAATGCAGCCACGGCGCTCATTGGCTATTTGCGCCAGCTTCCCCGATGACTGTATATGAAATGGTATGCACTGCTTCTTGCTGCATTGGGTGCTGGCGGCACAGCTCGTATGCGCAACGGGAAATGTGAACGAACGGGGCGGCTTGTGGAATTTGAGGCGCCGGAATGTCGCCGGATTTTGCATCGGTCTCGTCCGAACACGCCCTGAAATCTCTCCTCCCCCACACAAGCCACAATGCAGCGGGAATCGCTTTAGATTGGCATCGTTCGAGAGGGCGTGATGGAGGCGCCCCGTACATGTTCGGTGTCTGCGGTCCTATGAAGGACCTCCTGGCCGGTCACCGCTGGTCATTATCAGCGGCGCCGAATATGTATGCGAGACACCGCGTATCTGGATCACCCGCAGAAAAAGAATGCGACGTCGCTCCCCCGTCAGAGAGAGGTGTGCTGCCAAGTTTCTCATAGGCATGCCAATTTGCGTGTTTGATTTGAGGATTGTCGCAAGATG